CTGAAAACCAGCGATGACACCACAAAGCACCTCATGACACGGATGTCCCTGGACACCACGGTGCGAGTGATATTGCATGAGTCCACTACTGTAAGTCTGGACACCAAGACAATGGCAGGCGTCAGTCTTGGGTCCCGCGATCTTCAAATCTGGCCTCCCAAACAGCGTGGTGGAGTGCCTAGCTACTGCTCACGGTCCGGAGATCACGCTTGTTTGTAAATTTTAGAAACCACTCAATCAGAGGCGGCTACACCTCAGCCAGGGTCTCCCCATGCTCTCAGGGGAGGGAGAAGAAGATCAATCCGTTCCTGCCATGTAGCATTATTCCACGATCACCCCAATTCCACAGAAACTCCAACAAGGGTGCTCAGGGAACCCTAGTGGAAACTCAAGTCTTGGGGGCAGGGAGGGGGCCAACATCTCTGTCTCAGAGAAGGTAATGTCGCTTCTGTTGGTAAACCAAGAGAGGCAACTTATCATTGAGAAAAATGCTTAACGTCATTCACATAGACCCACGGGGGGAGAATGCACCCTGCCTTGTGTTCATAAGCAGGCACTTTAGACCACTGTTCTGGCCCAGACCAAGTGCTATAGACAAATGAGATGCCAGGTTTTGTCCTTTTGCGGTGCACAACATCTTTCATAGTCCACACCAGAAAGATGCTATTTGGAAACCCCATTAAGCTAACCAGGTTTTACCTTAAACACACCTGTAGCAGATGATAGGAACTGAAATACTCCTTGGATTTAAGGTCGAAACACCCTTGTGTGCTAAGGAGCAAATGATGACTACCTCAAGGCCAGGGATTGGGAAGTCAATGGACTTTTGTTCAATCTCTCGCTCTAAAGGTGCCCAATAATCAACAATTTAAGGCTACCATATATTTGCTATTTTTGTACTCTTGGTTTTATTATGACATGTCATGTCTTAGTCCCATGAATGAGTACTATTGAAAGGTTTTCCCTATTGCCAACCTTCATGGTTTGCAAAAATAATGTCCAATCACTTGAATTTTTAATAGGTACAAATCAGCAATCCAGCCATGTCTGTATAAAAAGTTGGCCTATGCATGTATACCTTCCTGTTCTAAACAATAAATTTCATACCGTTGGCTAAACTGATGATACTATTAGTAGAATTAGGAGCCTTGGTGGCATGGTGGGCACACAGCTGCTCTGAGAGGGAAAGATGAGACTTTGTACTCCCTCCAAGAGCCACAGTCTCAGAAACCCACAGGGGCATGTCTGCCCTATCCTACGAGTGGGAATCCGCTTGATGACAGTGAGTTTGATTATTTTTTTAATCAAGAGAATTATTGCATGCCCCATGGAGATGATTTATAATGTTCCCCAATAAAATGATAATGATGTCTCTAAAATGGACCAGGGACATTCATAAACCACAGACATATGAATGGATTTTGTGCTCCATTTAATCACAGCCCTAATCCAAGAACAATTAGTTCTAATAATGTGGCCCTACTAGATGCTTGCCCTTATGAAGAGATCACTGAAGATCTGGGCGCTAGAGCAAAGTGTGGTGAAGAAATCCTATGGTGTCCACCTCTCCTAAAAAATAGCATCTGGGGGTCTTAGAAGTTGGTCTTAAAACAGCAGCCATCTGAGTGCGGTGTCAGCTAAGCCGGCACAGAAGAAGCACACCAGCCCGTGTGATTCAAGCTCTCATGTAGTTCTCTGACCAGAGGCGAGCGCTACATTAGAGGCTAAATTCTGAGTCACCCTGTTTACAGAAAGCCATGGATGGCAGTGAAAGGCCAGAATGTATTTGCAGTGTCCCCGCATGTCATCAGATCTGTGTGACACCAAGCTGGGTCCTGCCTGCCCTGGACCAAAGGAGTGTTCAGAAATTGCTGACGATGGTGTGGTCTCCAGGGATTAGAGGGAGGCAAGTCTGACTGGCAGAGACTTCTGAAGGATTGGGTTTGGGCGAGGGGAGCAGGAAGGACAGCTCCACGCAGACGAGGGCTAAGGAAAGAAGACACGAGGGTGGTTGATCAGGGCTCGGTGTATATGGGACTGCTAACCACACAGTCAGCAGTTCACAACCCACAACCGGGCCTCAGGAGAAAGATGAGGTTTCTGCTTGAGGAAAGAGTTACAGTGTCAGAGACTCTCAGGGACAGTTCTATCCTGCCCTATAGGGTTCCTATAGGAGGCGGTCTCGACTTGATGGCAGTGAGTCAGTTTGGGGGTATACCTTGGTGACTTGCCCTGCAGGGCTGGGCCTGCCTCACTGGACCCAAACTCAGGGTGAACACTGCAGAAGGTTCACCCAGACTTGAAGTGGAATGGAGCTCAGCCCCCCAGGAGGAACTGACTACTCCTTGGGACCTTACAGTTGAAGCCAGGCTGTCAGCCGACTTAGGAGGTTGCCCAGCCTGGCCTGGCTGTCCCTGTATGAGCCATGTCCAGCCCCGCCCTCACAGGGCCCTCAGCCTGCCCTTCTCACACTGCGGCTCCCCAGGACTGGGACAACGGGGCTTTAGTTAGGTCTCCCTGTGCCCACAGGTGTGCTAGCAGCTTTCTGGCTGGGACGTCCCATCAGGGGCCCTCTAGCATTGCCTGTCATAACCTCGGCCTTTGCTCTTTGCCCGGCAACAATCACTTGTTCTAAAGTTCTGCTCGAGGGTCACAGCCCTTGGCCTTCTGCACCCCACTCTGGCTGGGGGCCTCTTCTGCAGCCTCCAGACAGTCCCTCTCAACCACGCAGGCCACTCGTTTTAAACGAAAGACGAAGACCAAATGGCTTAGGGGCTGCAGCTGTTTCCAGGGGTCCTTTCAGTTCATGCATGTGCAGACATGGCTGTAGGCAGACTGAATAGTAGAGGTTCACTAGGGACCTTCCTACTGCATGCAGCTATTTGGGATCATCGTGAATTTCATAACCCCAAACTAACTGCGGAATGACCTGCCTCCTTCCCCCTTCAGAACACTGTAATTAGAGTTAATTTGTTAATTAATTAATTAATCAGAATATTGTTACTTTTGATGTTGTAACCGGGATATTACTATTTTTATTTTATTAACCAGAATGCTATTATCAGTGCTGTATCATCTAACGCTCACTAGCTCTAAAGAATAAAGACGTTAATTTTGCTTTCTCCTTCGGTCCATGCTTGCTTACATCCTAGATAAATGATAAATGAGTTTTTTTGCCTTTAAAGATGGACTAAAATAGTGGTTCTCAGCCTTCCTAATGCCGCGACCCTTTCATACAGTTCCTTATGTTGTGGTGACCCCCAACCATAACATTATTTTCGCTGCTACTTCATCACTGCAATTTTGCTACTGCTATGAATTGGGCAACCCAGGTGAAAGGGTCACTCGACCCCCAAAGGGGTCCCAACGCCTAGGTTGAGAACCGCTGGACTAAACTGTCCATTTGGGGCTGCAATCAAAGAATCACTTTTAGATTCTAGCAGTCTGGTTATAACCGAATAAAGACTCTCTCAGTTATCAAGACATTGCAGTGGCTGTCATGTGTTCGAACCCGCAACGTCACCAAGCTCATTGCTCTCCAGTCAACGCGGATGGAGACCCTGTAGGACAGGGAGGGCTGCCTCTGTGAGTTTCAGGGTCTACTTGTTTCCATCTTTCTCCTGCAGAGCAGGGCTGGTGGATCCAAGATGCTGACCTTGCAGTTAGCAGCCCAATGCCCAGCCTCGACGCCAGACGCCAGGGTCACTGTACATCACTGTGTATTCTTCCCGGTCAACGGACATTGACAACCTCCGTCACCTGGCATCTCCATTGTGTTCCCACTGTCATCATCATAAACGAGGTCACCCATCAGAGGTCGTATGGGGGCAGTAAGGGAGATGCTCGGCTCCCGAACTCCTGGCTCCCGAGTCACTCTCTGCCTCCCCAGTCCCATGACCCATCTCCACCCACACAAAGGAAGTCACAGTCGTGCTTGTCCAGCAGCAGTTTCAAACATGCCCGCTTCCCTCCCTTCCCTCCTGGTTTGGCAACGCCACAAGCCCAGTCCATCCCCCGTGACTGATCCAGAAAAACAAGGTTGTTAAATGCCATTGTGTCAGGTTTGCCCAATTCCTGCCACAGACAGCCCTGCACACCACACCCCCTATTGCTTCCTCTCTCCTCCCTCTGTCCTCCGGGTTTCAACATTCCCAGCTTGGGGAGGGCGGGTAGGGTGGCCAGATAAAAGAGGAGGCCCAGGAGCGTTGGTCCCATCCTCTGGAGGCCGCAGTCCAGTCAGCAACATGGCGAGAACTGGGGCCTTGGCAGGTGAGTGGGCTGCGCCATGGGGGCTGTGGGAGGTGGGGACAGGCAAGAGAAAGGGGTGCTCGAGGAAGTTCAGTTCACCTCTCCTTGCAAGGACTTTTCGGCTGCAAGGGAAGGCTTGTCCCTGGGTGGGCAGAAAAGACGTCTCTTCCTTCAGTCCTCGAGGCCCAGGGACAGTCAGGGCATGGGGTGCTTCTGCCTACCCGATGTTCTCTGGTCTCTACTTTGGGCCTTATTCAGCCCGTGCCCACAGCCATGGTTCTTCCCCAGTCCCTTCTGCAGGGGTCGTCTGTGCAGGTGATGACCGCCTGAGTCATGCCCCTGACTTCCATGACCAGCTGTTCCCAGCCATCAGACCCCAGAAAACCAGAGCTCCCTCCTTCTTCTCCCCTCGCGCCACCATCTCTCCATTCCGGGGGCTCCAGTAGGGGGGCAGCAGACAGTCACCTTCTGGTGAAACAGGCCTGGAATCAGGGACCTCTGACATCTCCCAAGCCTGCCTTTCCAAAGTGGCCCTTTCCAACCCCAGGGCAGGTGGTCTTCTTGTTCCAGAAGAGAACCTTCCTCTCTGAGCACGTCCCATGGCACGGTTTCTCTCCGCATCTCCCTAAGTCCACACTGACCTCCACTGGCCCTCTAGACAGGGTCCGGCAACTTCCGGCACCAGTCTTGACCAGGGAGGGGCCACCCCACCTGGCCTGGGTGAAGGGTGGACACAATGGGTCCCTTCTGGGGGTGAATGGACGTGGGGTTGAAGGGACAGGGGAGGGGGGGGAGATTCACCTGAGACCACCTTAACAGAGCCCCTCCCACTAATAAGCTGAGGCCGGCTGGAAGGTGGGCACGCCACCCTGACCTTCGCCTTCTCTCTGTGTGTCGCTTCAGGTCTGAGCCTTCTGCTGTTGATCCAGTGGGGTAAGTGGCCACGTTCTGAAAACCAGCCCTTGAGTCCTCCCAGGCCCATGCCCATGCCCATGCACACACACACACACACACACACACACACACACACTGCAGGGTACACGAGTATGGGGTGTGTGTGCATGCTCCCACACCTATGCACATCCACACCTCCTACCCGGTACCAGGGAGGAGTTTCTTCCAAGTTCAACCCCCTGCACGTGTCCCCATCATCCTCACAAATTCCTTAGGGGCGCCCGCCTCCTCGTTCATGAGCTGAATCCAGGAACAACCCCCGCAAGGTCAGCTTCGAGGTCAGCCTCCCTTGGGTCCCTCACACCCACCTCTGTGCTTTCTTCGTCCTTCGGCAGGTTTGATAGGACAGAGGATGGTGTTTGTTGTGTGTCTCTCCTCCACTGGACTCATCGGGGTCCATTCTGTGATGACCCTGTGTGTGGGGGAACAGACAGGGCTTCCAGAGGCTGGTTTGGGGAAGGAGGGGGTACATCACTAGTTCCTGCTCTCCAGGCCCTCCGGGGCCCTCCTCTCTCCCCCTTTTGGCTAGCAGGTGGCTGCTTGCGCTGCCTCGGGACTAGGGGTGCTGCAGGGCATGAGCCTGAGCCTTGTCCAGCTCCGTCTCTCTGGCCTCGGCTCGGCACGGAGAACAAGCCTGTGTCTGTGGCCACAATTGGAGGAGGACCTTAGAAAGGCAGGAGGAACTCCTTCTGGCCTTCTTGTCTGTTCAGCTTCTCAGACTCTCACCTCCCTTCCCGCCCCACCAACTTCCTGGGAGACAGCAGGCTCTCTAGACCCTCATCCCGAGGCATCAGACACTCTCTGAGCTCCTGGAATCCCAGGGGATCAGCCAGGGGCCGCTGTACTAACATGGGGCTGAGCGAGAGGTGGGCGATTTCTCCGAGCGCTTTAGTCCAAGCTGGCATTGGGTTCGGTTGAAGCATAGTAACAAGAACAGGGGGTGCTGGAACGACCCAGGGGGCCGGCAAAGCAGATCCCTACATTTTGTCCTGGATCATGGGCGACGGGACAAATGGTTTTAATTGCCAGTAATACACACATACACACACCCCCAGGAAAGGAGATGGTAGCACTAGCGGTGTGGTGGTTATGCATTGGGCTGCTTACCACAAGGTCAGCTGTGCAAAACCATCAGCCGGCTCCTTGGGAGAAAAACGAGGCTTTCTCCTGCTGTACAGAGCTAGTCTTGGAACCCCACGGGGGCAGTGAGTCCTCCAGGGTCACTAGGAGTTGGCATTGACTCGACGGCAGTGGGTTTGCTTTGGGTGGGAGGTCAAATACGTTAGGGAGCCGGTGGTGTAGACTGAGAGTCAACATGAGTCGAACACTCCGGCCAGGGCTGACCCTGTGTCGGGCACCGTGCGAGTGCTGGATGGGTGTGAATTCTTGGTCCACACAACAACCCTCTGAGGAGGGGGCCATGGCTGACCCCATTTCACAGAGGAGGAGACTGAGGCAGCGTTTCAGAGTTGGGATTTCAGCTCACTCATGCGCTCCACAGGCCTGCTCGTCACCACCAACTGCGTAGCCTCTGTCAACAGAGGAAACCACAGCTCCAGTGATATTTGATTGGGTAAACCGTGAGAAGATGGGAGAAGGCGTGTTCTGGGCGTTCGCTCCCTCCTGCCTTCTTTTTTCTGGGCAGTGGAGATGTGGGTGGGGGCGGGGTGTGGCTCACCAATCCACCTGTCTGAGGGCAAGCTGCCCCTCCAGCCCCCAGCAGCAAACGCCACTCCTGGGTGGCCTCTGGTTAGCACTGAGGACGTCACCAAGACCTCAGGCTCCTGCCCCAGGAGCCACCCGTGGGCCCATGAGAGCCTCAGCCCCTGAGTTCAAGTAGGGGCGGGGCTGTGACTTCCCATAATCCCTCCAATCGGCCCTCTGTGCCCTTCCCCGTGCCCTCCTGTGCCTCCGGAAGGAGAGAGCGCAGAGGGGAGTCCTGGGATCCAGACACCTCCCAGGGACACTTCAGTCCCAGCTCACGAAGCTCAGTCCCAGAGTGTGAGGCTGGACAGGCCACAGAGCCCCCGGGGCCATTTTCAGATGGGACTCTGGGACGAAGTCGAAGAAGAACTGGGCCCAAAGCCACTTGGGGCAGACGCAAGGGTCAAGACCAGCTTCTTGCTTTCTGGTGTCCCGGGCAACCCAGCATAGCACCTCCCCTTTTGCGCGCCCCCTCCTCCCATTCTCTCACCCAGAGAAGAGCTGCGAGGGACTCGCTGTGTCCAGTGCCTCAGAAAGGCCGTCTTTCCCTAGGACCACTGCAAACCCCAACCAAACCTCTTGCCACGTATCCACTGCAGCTCCACTGACCACTGACCCTGGGGTTGGTTCCCAAGGCTGCGTGTAACTCCCCCGCAGAGGAGCTGATGGGCTCAAACCGGCAACTGATCAACTGATCAGTTAGCTGCTGAGCCCAGGCTGGGCTCTCCCTAGAAACCCGCGTCCCCAGCGCGCCAGCCTCCACCCGTTGAAGCTTTGTGTGTTTGCATTTTCAGTGCACACTCTTATTCTGGAAGTGCCCCCTACCTTTCACTTATGGGCGGGTCATGCTCCTTTGGAGGATAGGGTGGGTGGTCTGGGTCCCAGGACCTGGAGGCGAGGGTCTAACTTGGGGGGAGGGGCCTGCCTGCCACCACCCCACCCCCAACTCCCAGGGACCTCAAGGGGTTGAGACTGGACCTGCTCCCTCCACTCTGCCTTCTTCATAGCCTGGCGGATTGCTCAGGTGGCAGGCCCTCTCTGAGCTTCCTCAGATGGTCCTGCCCACCCACAGGTGTCCTGAGAGCAGCAAGGCTGGCCTCTGAAAACACCCTGTTGGCTTCGGTCCCAGCCCAAACAAACCCCTTTCCAATGGGTTTCAGCCCACAGCCAGGGGCACGGCTCCCCAGCCAGCCGTCTGACTGCCTTTTGTCTTCTTGCCACCCCACACCCTTCAGGCTCTGCTGCAAAGCTGGTCTGCTACTTTACTAACTGGGCCCAGTACAGGGAGGGAGCAGCTCGCTTCCTGCCCCAGGATGTGGACCCCAACCTGTGCACCCACCTCATCTACGCCTTCGCTGGCATGACCAACCTGCAGCTCAGCAGCACGGCGTGGAATGACGACGTCCTCTACAAGGACTTCAACGGTCTGAAGAAGACGTGAGCAGCTCTGGGCGGGGGCAGCGGGGAGGACAGCCGCCTCTTCTCAGAGCCGGAAACCTTCCCAGCTGTGGAAGCCTGCTGCAGGCGCCCACCTCTCTGAGCTTTCCCACGTGCAGGAAAGATGGGTAGCTGAAGGGGATTCCTCCCTCTCTTCCAAATGTCAGTGTGGAGAAAGATACGTAGCAACGTGTCGCCACAGTGGCCCTACGCACAACCGCCGCGGCTCCAAGCAGTGCGACAGGGCATTCTGGCCATCCTGTCCCTCCTCGTCTCACCACCCTGAACCTAAATGATAAGAGGGTTCTTAAGGACCCCTCCAGCTTAGGTCTGAGTGGGGACGGGGTTATGAAATGGTTCCTGCTGTGGCAAAGGACCTTCCTTTCCTAAAATCCGTCCGTTCCCCAGCCCAGGTGCTTCACAGAGCCTCGGGCTGCGTGCCCTGATCACACTGTCCCTGAAGTCCCTGCGTGTAGTCTGCACGCATGCTGTCTGCGTCTCCCCAGCCAGGCTCTCAGGCCTGTGAGGGCAGGCATGGGTCTTTCCTTTCCTCCGCTGGAGCTATCCCCAGAGTGCTGGGCACAGGGCTCATGGGGACACTATACGTACGTATTATGGATCACGGGAAGCTTACAGAGCAGACCGTCTGTTTTTCATTCAGCGGTTCATGCACCCTGTGCTTGAACTCACCCATTGCAGTCCCTCATCCCACGTCTTCCCTGCCTCCTGTTTCCCTTCCGCCTTCTTTCTAACCCTCTGGACTTCATTCTTGGGGAAATGTTGCCCTTTTGATTTTAAATGGTTGGTTAGTCTAACTCAGGGGTGAGTTCCAATCCAGACCAGTGAGCCTGGTCTGTTTTCTGACTGTGAGTTCTGATCCAGGGCTTCTCATGTAAATCTCTGCTGAGTGGTTGGCAGTGATGGCCGGGCACCATCTAGTTCTTGTGGTCTCAGGGTGGTAGAGACTGATGTTGGCTCAGAGATTTGTGCATGTCTACCCATCCGCCCTGCCAGGGTACCTCTGAGTCCCTCCCGCCCCCCCCCCGCCCCCCATTTCTCCCATCAATGAGGTGAGTCCTGGGACTTGGCTGTGTCAATACTGGGCCATCTCTTATCTTTCCCAGGAACCCCAAGCTGAAGACCCTGCTGGCTCTTGGAGGCTGGAACTTTGGCACTCAGAAGTGAGTTGACTGTGGTAGGGCCTGCTGGGTGGGGGCTGGTGCACGGAAGAGTGGGAGAGACCCCTGGTCAAAGGCGTGGGCTGGGTCAGGCTGGGGTGTGGCCAGGGCAGGGGGCACTGGGAAGGAGCCTGGACTCTAGGTTCTTGAGTGCCCCACGCACACAAGGGGAGAGAGGAATGAACTTGCTCCAGGTGGTTACAGACAGACCCCATCTCCCCAGAAGCACCCGAACACAGCACAAAGTTCTGGCCTCTCGCCAGACCTCAGTCTCTTCCTTCCTGAAATGGGGCGATGGGGAAAGGAGGGAGGAGTCCCAACCACCCTCGGCTGCAAACAGCTCCTAGATGTTCAGATGCCAAAAACAGAGTCGCTTGTCTGGGAAAGCATTTCATTCCACTTCTGCATAAAGCAGGCGAGATTGAGTTCAGGTGCCAAAATATTGGCATTTCTGGGACATTTTGATGATGTATGCAGACGATGAAGACGATGAAGTGGACTTTTCCTAGAAAATCCAGAATATGTCACTCTTCAACCTCTGAATCAGTCCTTCTGAAACTCATTTTGGACCCTGTGCCCTCTGGAGAACCTGGTGAATGCTCTCAAAACAGTTCCCAGACTAACGCTTCCCTATGGATTTCTTTTTGAAAGGTAGACGCTGTTAGCTTGGGGTCCCCAGGTTCATGAGCCCCAGCTGCTACCTGGGGCATCAGGACACGGACAAAGAGTGGGTGGGCAGCCTGTGGACTGGACGAGGCAGGGCAGTGGCACAAAGCATTGAGAAATGAGACGTAGAAGGATGGTTTGTTTCCTGGGATGTAGAACCAGAGGGTCCCTGAGCCACCCCACGACCCCCTGAGGTGGCTGCGCCCCCCTCTTCCTCTTCCTCTTGTAAGTGGCTCCTCTTCTGTAAACCTCTGGGTCCGGTGAATGTGCTGGCTCTGAGTCTGGGAGGGCAATTCCCCGAGCAGGGGCACGGGAACAGGCTGCCAGAGAGAATTTTTGGGATTAGAACTACTAGTGCTTCTTAGGATGTCCATTTTAGGGCAAATGTACACATCCAAACTGTCCCCATTTCCTTAGCCAGACCCCAAATTCCGCAGCAAGTACTCCCACTTCTCCGAAGCAGCTGGCCCAGCCCACCTCTGGCTTGCCTCAGAAGGAGTGGGTGGTCGCTCATCAGGCCCCAGGTAGACTCATCCGCCCCTTCACCCCCACCCCCACCCCCACAGGTTCACAGAGATGGTGGCCACAGCCAACAACCGCCAGACATTCATCAACTCGGCCATCCAGTTCCTGCGCAAACACAACTTCAATGGCCTTGACCTGGACTGGGAATACCCAGGCAGCCGGGGAAGCCCGGCCTCAGACAAGCAGCGCTTCACAGACCTGGTGCAGGTGAGTCTGGGTGCGGAGGGGCCACCCAGGGGCCAGGGGGCCAGAGCTGGAGGTCTGGGCATGGATCGCCCCCAGGGCCAGCTGGTGGTCAGTTTTCAGACTCTGGACGGTGAGCCTCTACCTGGGCTCCTGGGCCCAGGGTCCTGTGCGCTCTCCTGCTCACGCTAAGCTGCCCGGCAGGAGTTGGCCAGTGCCTTCCAGCAGGAAGCCCAGCAATCAGGGAAGGAGCGTCTCCTGCTGAGTGCGGCGGTCTCTTCAGGGCGGACCATTGTGGATGCTGGCTACGAGGTGGACAAAATTTCTCAGTGAGTCTCCGCAGAAGCTGTCTGGGTGGGGGAGGTTGAGTGTGGACTGGCTTCCTCGGAAAGCCCCGCCCCTCCACCGGAAACCCAAGGAGGGGCTTCTTCATCCATGAGGACACAACCCTTCGCTCAGATCTTGGGGTAGGGGGCTTATCCTTCAAATGAGAATACCTCAGGAGGGAGAGGAGGGCGGAAGGCCCAGCATCTCCAAGGGAGCCTTGCTCTTCCAGGTGTGGACTTGCTGGAAGGGCAGACCCCCAAGCCCACCCCAGGCCTTGAATCCGAACCAACCTTTGAAGGGGTCCCATGCAGGAGAAGGGCTGGGGAGACAGTGGGGGGATGGGCTGAGGACAGGATTGGCCAGCCTCGTGGTTAGAGTGAGGGTGGCCTTGATAATGGGGCAGGTGAGCGATGCTGTTCACGTCCAAGTCCAGAGAGCAGCCATAGTGCGTGTAGGGGTGGGGGTTAACCCCTCATTCCACACCTCCTGCAGGGGCCTGGATTTCATCAACCTCATGGCCTACGACTTCCACGGCAGTGGGGAGCAGAACACAGGGCACAACAGCCCACTCTACAGCAGGCAGGGCGAGAGCGGGCCTGCGGCTGAACTCAATGTGGTGAGTGGTCAGAGGCGGGCTGGGTCACGCAGGACCCCATGGTCCGTCAGCCTGTGTCCATGGCCCTTGGCAGCCTTGGGGGGCCAATGGAGCAGGAGCAGTGCAAGGACACCAAGCGAGGCTCCAGGTGCCTCTGGCAACCTTGGCTACTTTGGGTGTCTGGTTTCTGTCCCTGCTCCTGACCCTGCTGGGGCGGGGGCCCCATCTCTGCAGTATCTTGGCCCGTGTCAGACACAGAAGACCAAGAGTATGGCAGGACATGGTGGCTCACGGGAAGCCTTCTCCAGTTTGGCTTTCCAGCCAAAGTGGCCCCTGCTTCCCTACCACCACCACGCCCTGTCCCGTTTCTTCAACACACTTCTGCTTCTTGGCTATGGAGGTTTAGGCCTTTGATTGTGACTCAGGGCAGAACCACTTCCTACGAGCTCCTGGAAACGTCCAGGGTGTTTTTCAGACTGGAGCCAGCTCTCTGGGTGGCCCACTGGTCTGACTGCTAGCCTGCAGGCTGGCAATCTGAATCTGCCGAGAGGTACCTTGGTAGCAAGGCCTGGAGATCTGCTTCCATACAGATCAGAGGCAAAATCCCAAACCCAAACCGTAGAACGTGTGGGGTCACCGTGAGTCCGGAACAACTCCATGGTGCCACTGTGAATCCATATTTCTGCTTCCTGTTCTGTTTGTTTATGTCAAAATGACTACTCTTTCTGATGCACAAACCACCATCACCACCACTACAAGGTCAGCAGTTCGAAACCACCAGCCACTCCTTTGGAGAAAGATGAGGTTTTCTATTCCCCTAAGGAGTTACAGTCTTAGAAAACCTCAGGGGCAGTCCTACCCTGTCCTATAGGGTCGCTATGAATCAGAACTGACCCTGTGACATCACCAGAGACATTAGACACATTAGTAGTTCTGCTGCCCAAAATTCCCTCCAGAAAACTGCTCCCATGCCCCTACCTAGGTAGTCCCCTTCCAGAGTCACCAAAATGCATCTATAACCCCCCACATCAACACTTATGGGACATTTGCATTCAAAGGTGTGTACAGAGCAGCCAACCAAAGTGAGTCAGTTGACACACACCTGCCCGGCTGGAGCAGAACAAGGTGACACTCTCCCCCTCTGTCCAGTTCTCCTACAAGTGGCCCTTTGGTAATCTACTTTGTGGCCTGCTTCTGTTGCACTTTTGGTGGTCCTTTTGGTGGTCTCACTGCTTCAAGTGTCCCTCGAGCACAGGGCTGATGCACTATCCAAGGCTCGTAAGCACAGAGAAGGTTGTGATGAGCTAGGTGGAGAAAATATGTTAGGTATGCTTCATTCAGGCCTGAGTTACAGTATTGTTGGCCATGTATTGAAGTCAATGTTTCTATCTATCTATCTATCTATCTATCTATCTATCTGTCTGTCTGTCTGTCTGTCTGTCTATCTATCTATCTATCTATCTATCTATCTATCTATCTATCTATCTATCTATCTACCTACCTACCTCCCTACCTTTCTATCTACCTACCTACCTTTCTATCTATTTACCTACCTACCTTTCTATCTATCTATTTACCTACCTACTTACCTACCTATCTACCTTTCTATCTATCTATCTATCTATCTATCTATCTATCTATCTATCTA